TCCCTCCCTCCATCTCTTCCTCTCTCTCTCACACACACACACACACACCTTTCTCTCTCTTACTTGCTTCGATTCACACTGCAAGCTAGAGAGAACTTCATTGTGGTTTTTCCCCAGCAGCCAAAAATATAAGATAAATGTCATTTTTCAGGTAAAAGGAACTAGAAAAAGCACACCCCCACCCCCACCCTATGGTCTAAAGTATGGGATCAGTCTCCATTGTTTTTTTCTTCTTGCTTGCCCAGCTGTGTGGTATTATAAGGCTGCAGCAAGGACCTGGAAAAGGCACTTTTGGGAAAAAAGAAAGTGGAGGTGGAAACCAGAGAGACCCTGGAGAGAAGAGAAAAGAAATCCCCAATTCTGGATATGAACCAGCAAGTGTCTGGGCTCACCCCCAAAAGCAAGGCAATTGCAAACAGACCCAAAACATAATAGCACAATTTCTGAAGCAGAACTGACTCTGGAATTAGTGCCCCGAGTTAAGTAAAAGAGAATCTGCAGTCTGACCCTAACCTGACCTAATCAGTTGACTGCTTGATAAACAAACAAACAAAACAAATCAACATTCTAAGGATTTTAATATGAACCTGAATCTCACAACCTATTATTAACCAATCTAGGATATAACCCATAATTACTCAATACAGAAAAATGTTCAAAAAAGATAATACATGCTAATCCAAGAAGTCCCAGATGTTAGAATTACTAAATAAAGACTTTAAAGCAATAAAGACTGAATAAAGACTATTATAACTATGTTCCATGAAGAATAAATAAAATTATTCTAGAAATAAGCTTAAGGATAGAAATTCTGAGCAAAGAAACAGAAAATGTAAGAAACAAAAGGGTTGAAAACAAGTGAACAGATACTTGGAAAAAATCAAGATGTATAATATTAGTACCAATGGAGTTAGGAGGAGCAAAATATTGGTGTAGAAATAACCATAAAAAAGTTTATAAAATTGGATAAAGACAAAATTTACAGATTCAAAAAGATCTGAGAACCCAAAGGAAATCATGTCCAGATATATCATAATCAAACTGCTAAAAACCAAAGATAAAGAAAAATTTTGAAAGCAGACAGATAAAAAGAACTTACTACATAAGAGAACAAAGATTCAAATGACTGCAGATTTTTCAACTAAACCCACAAGAGCCAGAGGAGACTCGATAACATCTTTAAAGTACTGAAAAGTCCAAAAGTAGCAGGTAGTCTTAGAATTACATGATTCTTTCAGAACTTCTTTCCAGATGCATTAAGGTAACAAAACAATTTAAGTTAGCCTAAAATTTGCCACAACATTGTATTTAAAATGTGTAATGCCACATACCTGGATCTGGCTGCAGATACACAATTGGGATGGTTGTCAGGGACAACACCTTTTCCCATTGGGGTAGGCAAAAATGGCAATTTACACTGCTCCACCAACTTCCTGATACTCTCTTCTGCATGGGCATAAGCAGCACCTATAAGAAATGGAAATGTATTAGATGATTTAGCTAAGTTTGGCATTGGGACCAAATAGTTCACATGAAATTGTTTTTAGGCCTCAAATACTTTCCTTTTGCTTATACATGGGCTTAAAAACAAAATAAACTGTAACTATGGTTTTTATCTTTGGTATTTTTAAGTGCTTAAGAAAGCAATAATTCTAAAGGTAGCAGAATACAACAGTCATAATATGGCATTATGTAAAAATGTGGATGTGTAACCGACGTGATTCTGCAATCTGCATTTGGGGTAAAAATTGGGAGTTCATAACCCACTTGAATGTCAAGAGCTTTGTAATGTTGTGAACAACCAATAAAAAAATAAATAAAATAAAATCAATTAAGATAAAAAAAAGAAAGCAATAATTCTAACTTCCCCTCAATAATATTCTAGATTAATCTGAAGAGTAAACAAAAGTTATACCATGCATCTCTTGTTGATACATCACTTACCTGTTCCATGCCATCATCCTGCTGAACTACTAATGGCAATTTACTAAATACACTGTATCTACTGGGAGGCCCAGGTGGGCAGGAGAAGCTCTGCACTGAAAGAGAAAGGCTCCCTCTATCTTCTCACATCCATCACCAGAAAATCCAGTCTGCACTAGTCTAAGAGGGCTTAAATTCCTAAGGCTCCCCAGATCTTTCTATAGGTTCTACAATGCTGTGACTGTACAGGGCTAACTTGAACGGTGATATATACCTGTTTTTTACAACTATATGCCTGAAGAGTAACATGTCTTTGACATTTAAAACACTAAATGTTTGCTGAAATATAGGAATGATTCCATTTCTCATTTGATCAAGGCCACTATTATTCTTAGCTATTTAATTTTATACTTTTTTCATGGTTAGCAGAATTCTATCAATATTTGGAATTTAAATTCTTTACTGAATCTTATTAAATAGTATAGTGTACTTTCAGATCCAGTATCACATTCCCCCTACAGAATCTCTCCCCGACTCCTTTCTCATACATACACAATGAAAAATACTTTAGATTTTATGCAGCAAGTTTCCTTATTCTCCTTCTTACTCTATGTCGATGTACACTCAGTCTCTCTTCCTAGACTGTCTTTGTTCTCCCTGAAACTTAGTGAACTATTACCCAGTTTTTCAAGGTATAGCTGCTGTGCCATGCCTTCTGGAATGTCTTTGCACCACCTACACAAGGCAAACTGTTGCTGCTTTCCTGGAGAAGCCACCTCGGTCTCTCTTTACACACTAAGAGTTTACATGTAATCAGGTATCAGGCCTATTACTCTATAGGTAGGAATCATTATTTTTCTGTAGTCCTCATGAATGGTTTTATAATCTCTGCCTTATCATAAGTACTCATCAAGTGTTTATTAAAGGAAGAATGAAAACTAGCACCCACTGAGTGCTTTCCACATATGTTGTTGCTGTTTATACCCTATTGAGGGAGTTAATATTCCTATTTTACAAGTGAGATATTGAGACTCAGAGCAACTGCTTGCCAAAATACATCATAAAATGCATTCAACTCAGAATTATTTCAGTTGTTCACCATTTTCTTTAAAACTATTTTTAGTTTCTATGTGATATCTAAGTAATGTATAACTGATTAACATGGTCATAGGTGATCCCAACAGCCTTACAACAATAAATTTCTGATAGGAGTATAAATTGGTTGGTACCACAGCTCAGGAGAAAGCAATTAACAGTTTATACCAAAAGCCTTAAAAGTATTTTGACTTGGTCTGGGGATATGGCTCATGCGGTAGTACGCTCGCCTGGCATGTGTGCGGCCCGGGTTCAATTCTCAGCACCACATACAAACAAAGATGTTGTGTCCGCTGAGAACTAAAAAGTAAATATTAAAAATAAATTCTCTCTCTCTCTCTCTCTCTCTCCCCCTTCAAAAAAAAAAAAATATTTTGACTTAGTCGATTCTCTTTGGGGGGATCTGTCTTAAATCCTAAATAGGAAAAAAAGCGTTAGGCACGGATATTTTCATCACAGCTACTATAAACTAACAGTAAATATTCACCAGTAAAGTATTAATACGTATGTGAACAGACATTAAGAATTATGTCTAAAAAATAATTTCAAAAATGTTACTATGAAAAAAGGAATAGAAAAGTATAAGGGTTAAAAATCACTGGATGAAGAGATTTCTCCTATATTTCTAGATTTTCCCAAAATTTTTTACAATAGGAAAAAAATCATTTTACTCTTAAGTCCCAAGCAGTTTAATAATTTCCTCGTAAGAGATCTCTGGACAATCAAGGATAATTATATGATCTGAAAACTAATAATGTAAAATGAAGATGAAGAAAACTCTTATTCCAGTTTCAACATTAGAGCAGACAATAAATAAAAATAATTCCAAAAGAGAATCAGCATTCTTTCAAATGCCTCGAAAGACTTAGTCCTATTCAACGTTACCTTTCCCAATGATGAGAAGGGGCTGTTTGGCATTCCTAATTATAGATGCTGCCATACCCACAGCAGAGGTTTCTGCCATGCTAACAGGAGGTGGCATACAGCACTCCTTGTACCTGCAAATAAACAGCTCTCTTAATTAAAACAGGCCAACTCCAAAATTTCTTACTGTGAAAATTTCAAATACATAAAAAGGTAGAAGCCAGGCACAATGCTCCACGCCTGTAATCCCAGCAGCTTGGGAGGCTGAGACAGGAGAATGGCGAGTTCAGCATCGGTAAGGCCCTAAGCAACTCAGTGAGACCCTATCTCTAAATACAATACAATAGGGCTGGGGATATGGCTCAGTGGTTGAGTGACCCCGAGTTCAATCCCTGGTACTCCCTCTCCCCTTAAAAAAGTAGAAAAATAGTACAATAAACTCCATAAACTCACCATGTAGATTTAACAATTGATACCAGCTTACCACCTTTGCTTCACTCACACATGTGCATGTTTTTTTCCTCCGAATCATTTATATGTATGGTTGTAGATGAACACATTACATTAATAAATATTTATTTATTTTATGTGATGCTGAGGATCCAACCCAGCGCCTTATACATGCTAGGCAAGCAGTCTACCACTGCGCCACAACCCAGCTCCCCCCACCCAATCATTTTAAGTAAATTACAGGCATCAAGACATTTCACCCTAAAAAATTCCTGATGCAGCTCTAAAAGAGAAGAACATTCTCTTACACAAACATAATATCCTTATCACATCTAGTAAATTAACAGTTCTTCCCCAATATCTAGTAACCAAACAGGCAATTCATTGACAGGAGACAGGGGTCAATAGCTTTGCACTGTAACAGCAATAGTAGTAGTTATTGTTGTTGTAATAGTAAATACCATATTAAAACCAATTATTTAATGCTATATGCCATTTTTTTCTCATTTAATTTTCAAAACAATAAAGAGAGGTATTACTATTACCTTAGTTTCACCACTGTGGAATAAAGACTCATAGACAGTAACTTACCCATGGTCCCCAAATGGCACAGGACAGAGACTGCACTAAACAAGTCTTTCTGTCTCCTAAACTCCAGTTGTGTTTCATTATTCCCCTCAGCACTCACTATTTCCACTCACTAAGTAAGTCAATACTGTAGTAGCACCCCTTCTTCTACAGGAATTCTTCAGTAAATTTCTCCAGAAATCTTCACCATAATTGATCTCAGGACTATCGCCAAAGAATCTCTGCAAAAGAATCTCTACAAAAGAATTCAATGTAGTGACACTTCCTATTTCCTGTTGCTCTATCTTACTTGGCCACCGCCTGGAAGAGATCAGCACTCCAAGTGCTGAATGTCACTTTACTAGTTTTTCACAAATATTTATGGACTATCTAACATACACAACAACATATAGTATTTTGTAGAAGTGTGCTTGCAAATGCAGAGTATTATATGAAAAACAGATTCTTTTAACTAGGCCACAGGCCTTGGGGCAGAGCTTCACAAAGATGCTTACATTTCAAAGAGAAGAGGTTACCAACTACTCCATGGTAACAGCTGGCAGGGGAAGGGAAGAAAGGGGAGAAGAAGCTCTCCTCTTCTCAGGTGTTGTCCTTGAAGGGTTAACTTGCCCAGAAAAGTGAAAGAAAAAGCTGCTTTTGTGTGAACTTCTGCAGGCTGTGAACTTCTGAACCTCTCCCCTTACATGCTGAGTATAAAGTTCTGAAACTCAGGGTTCAGGGGGATTAACTGATTACAGCAAAAGCTATACCCACTGAACCTGGCTGCAGCAAACTAGACTAACGGGTAGAAACATAAAATAAATTTTTATGCTCTTCTTCTTGTTCTTGGGATAGGGGAAAGAGAAATTCAACACTTTATTAGGTAAATCTATTTAGAAATGGTAAAATGACTGACATTCCTCATCAATAGAACTTTTAACCCTTAAGGTAAAAAAAATCACAGCAAACCTAAAGGTACTCAAAAATATCAGATCCTGATAAAGGGAAAGACTAGAAAAAAAGGAGAGGAAATTAAACATGCTATAAATTGATTAGAACATAAACCCCTTCAACCTGATCTTATTGGTAAAGTACCAGAGATGGGCCAAAGGCAAAGTCAGAGAATAAGTACCAAGCAGTTTGTGAAGCAAACTCAAATACAAGAATCTCAACTGCCTTGCTAAATATACAAAGTGAAGAATTAAGACACATTTTTAAAATACTAAGCTGGGATCTTTAAAAAGTAATTCCTCACTGAAAGCAAACAGAACTATATAAACATACACATACATACACATATGTATATACAAATAAACATACAGAGAGAGGGAAAGAAATTCTAAAATGTTAACAGTGTTCACCTCTAAGTAAAGGAATAAGAATAATTTTCATTTTCCTTATACCTTTTAAAACAGCCTATATTCATGGTATACAATATGGTGTTTAAAAAATACACAAACACATAATGAAGCATGCTAAAGTAAAATTAACATATTCATCATCTCATATAGATACTTTTTCTGTGTGTGGTAAAAGAACCTGAAATCTACTCTCCTGAATCCAATTCTATTAATTAACACAACACAACATTAACTATTGTCCTTATGTTGTACACTAAAACTCTAGGCTTATCTATCCTGCATAACTAAAACCTTGTATCCTTTGACCTTCACCTCTCACCTACCCCCTTTCCCTTAATCACCTTTCTATTCTGTTTCTATTTATTAGAGGATTTTTCCCAGTCTTTCCACTGAAGATCAGTTCTACTTGGTAAGATTACAGAGGACATTTTAAGAAAATGTTTTCAGTAATAAAACTTTGATTACCAACAGTTCATATTTGAATTTGCCATACCACCCAAGGCATGGATGAGACCTGGGCCAGAAACAACAAGGCATACTCCTGGCCTAGAAGCAAAACAGAATTTATTTTATTAAAAGCAGATCAAATTTACAACTGAACAAGCAGAATAAGCCCCTAAAATCTTTTTTTTCCCCCAGAACTGGAAACTGAACCCAAAGGCTTGCACATGCCAGGTAAATATTTTACCACTGAAGCACATGCCCAGGCTTTTTAAAAATTTCACTTTGAGTCAGGGTGTAGCGAAGTTTCCCAAGCTAGCCTCAAATCTGTGATCCTCCTGCCTCTGTTTCCCATGTAGCTGGGATTATAGACATGTACGATATGCCCAATCTAGCAATCTCATTTTTGAACCAAATATTTTTGGTCCATAACAACAAATGATTCAGATCACTTTAGAGTGAAATACAGCAGCAATCTTCATGAACTTCAAATAAAGACATGTAGGTCTTTATTATAATTGTAGAAAAATTAATAGAATATTTGTAATAAAAAAGATGATTACATAAGCCTTCTTATAAGAAATAAAGCACATATCATCTTCACATTGAATTTCTCTATCCTCTTCATATTTTGCTCCCATTTCATGTGGGCTAAAATGAGTTGACTGCATAGAGAAGCATTTTGGGAATGGGTATATTTTATATGAAGAAGGTGATTTTTTTTCCATTTCTTAACAAATAAATGCCAATTCAGGGGCTGGGACTATAGCTCAGTGGCAAAGCGCTTGCCTAGGAATTGTGAGGCACTGGGTTTGATCCTTGGCACCACATAAAAATAAACAAAATAAAGGCATGCTGTCCATCTACAATCTCAAAAAATTGAAAAAAAAAAAAAGTCAACTGACCTTTGAGAGGAAAGTAATTCTGTACATCATGTTCTACCAAAATTCTTTTCCAACTAAAGTTCAATGTTTTACCCTAGAAATGACTTTCTAAGCCTAAAGCACTCAAGAAAAAGGTATCTCTACATTGAGTTCGCCACTTAACATTTATAATTTCTTAAGAATCTTTAAGACAGACTTTAAAATGCATTAACTTTTCACCAAAAATTAAAACTTCTACAACAGTACTGACACAGAACTTTTTGTGCAGTCCAATATGGCAGCCAGTCCACAGATGGTCACTGAGCACTTGAAATGTGGCCCTCATAAATTAAAAAACTATAGTTTAAATGTTATTTCATTTTAATTAATTTAAATGTAGTCACATATGACTAGTAGCCAGTATAATAAACTATGTAGTACCAGAAGTTCATTAAAAGAAACAAAATTTTGCTGGGCATGATGGCACAAGCCTGTAATCCCAACAACTTGGGAGGCTGACACAGGAGGATCTCAAGTTCAAGGCCAGCTCCAGAAACTTTAGTGAGACCCTGTCTCAAAATAAAAAAACATAACAAAAAAAAGGCTAGGATGTAATTCAGTGGTAAATTGCCCCTGGGTTCAATTCCCCAGTACCAAAAACAAATAAACAAATAAGTAAACAAAAAATAAATAAATAACAAAATCTTTGAAAGTATAAACTTGACTGTTTCTTAATCATCATTCCAGCGTTTTTAAAAATTAAGGCATCAATGACTATGATTTAAATGTTTTCTGGGCTAAACAAAAAGATCAAACATTGTTTATGTAAATAATGTGACAGAAAGTGGCAAAAAGATGTTATTTTTTGGTTGGCCTATTTTTTTTCCGCACTGAAGTTCAGAAGGTCCCCATCAAAGAGGTGGGACTATGGTGAGGTCTAGACTTTTGAGAACCACATTTGTCTATATTTCTTAGCAGTTTAATTACTTATTTCATTTTTGGAAACAAAAAAATTAATAATATAAGTGAAAAGAGGTTAAAAATTATAGTAGGAGTCCAAATTCTGCTTAAAAAATACATGTAGAAAAATAACTGGAAGAAAATACTACAAATTCTTAACAGTATGGGATTAGAGGTGATATTAGTTTTCTTCCTTATACTTTTCTATAATCTCCAAATTTTCTAAAATGGGCACTTTTTTCTTTCTCCCCCGCCTTTTTTTGTGTGTGTGTGGTGCTGAGGATTGAACCTTTGTGCATGCTAGACAAGCACTCCACCAACTGAGCTATATCCCAGCCCTAAAATGGAGCACTTTTAAAAATATTAATTTTTACTTTTTTATTTTTTTTTATTTGTGTGTGTGCACATGTGTGTGTTGCTAGGGATTGAACCCAGGACCTTGTTCATGTGAGGCAAGAACTCTACCAACTGAACTATATCTGCAGCCCAAAAAAGTATTAATTTTTAATAATAAAAAAGGGGTGAATAGTTAGTTAATATAGATACAAACTAAAAATATGATAAGTGAATCAAGTCCCAACAATCTCATTTTTGAACTTAGCATTTTTATATTCAGTGGGCTAGGGCAACTGGGACATTTAAGACAAGGAATGTCAGTATCTGTTCACTAGAGATTCACTACACAAAATGGAAATGTGTTCTACCCCCAAACACTTTTCTAGTATGATCCTTTCAATATGACTCAGAGAGTTCTAAATTTCTTATGTTTTTATCAATACCATCTTCTGTAATATTTTCAAATCAAATGATCCTTTAACTGAAGGATCAATAGAAATGTCCTATTTTTCTTATTTTCCTATTCCTTCTGAATAATCCTGTCACTACTTTAATTCAGGCACTTCTTTGATTGTCTCATGAGGGGTTTATCAAATGTATTAAACCTCTGAACCCAAGAGTGTTTTACCACTGAACTTTAGCTTACCTGCCAGTCAGATATCCAACTGCAGAGGCAGCATAACAAGCCTACAAAGAAAGAACACTGGAACTTAATCAAGCATATTGGGATTCTCATAGTGTACATATGAGAACAATTTATTACTAAATAAGAGACTAGAATTTAAATGATAAAAGAGGAATTAGAACACTTTTCATTTTAAAAATGAGAAATGTGCTACCTGCAAATTTCAAATAATGCTAAACAGTACCTAAAAGTATCTAATCTCCAGTTTTTCAAAAATTAATCTTTATCATCTGTTATTTATAATATCCTCTTCCAACTGTTTACTTAAAACTGCTTAAATATCTTCAGGATCAATAGAAATGTCCTATTTTTCTTATTACTAATACTGGTAATTTGTGGGTTTGTTTCATCTCTTTGTGTGTGGGCAGGGGCTGGGGATTTAAGCCAGGGGCACTCTACCACCCTCCCTAAATTGTGGAGGCTGGTCTTGTGCCTGGAATCCTTCTCATTCAGCCTCCTGAGTCACCTCCCGTGCACCAACACACCCAGCTGTGTTATCCTTCTTTGATTGTTCATCAGTCTCATGAGGGGTTTATCAAATGTATTAAACCTCTGAACCCAAGAGTGTTTTACCACTGAACTATATCCTGCCCTTTTTATCTTTTATTTTAACAAGCATCTCACAAAGTTGCTTAGAGCCTCCCTCATTTGCTGAAGCTGGCCTCAAACTTGTGATCCTCCTGTCTCAGCCTCCTGAGTGGGAGAGATTATAGATGTGTGCCCTGTGCCTGGCTCCCCTACATTCTACTGCATAATTTTGGCAAGTTATTCTGTATATTGGCTTCTTCATAAAATAAATGTAATTCAGGGCACTGATGTGAGAATAAAATCAGGTAATCAATATAAAACACTCAGAATAGTGCCTGTACACAATAAACTCTATGCAGCTGACTTTCTGACAATCTGCCTGTTTGCTGGTTAACTGACCAAATATGTCTTGGTTACTATAAGGGACTGATGAAAAACAAGTCATAACCAACTACACCTTTCTCTTTAGCACAAACAAGCTCCTAAATCCTTCTGAACTTATTTTCCTATTCCTTCTGAATAATCCTGTCACTACTTTAATTCAGGCACTAAGTCTTCCTTTGACTACCATCAAGACTCATGTTGCCTGAGGGACGTATGTGCGGGATGTTCCACACACATCTCAAACTCAAATGTTCAAAATCAAATTGATCATCTTTCCCCTCCAAACTGGCTCTTTCCTCTATCCAGTGCCCAGCATAGCACCTTAAACCTAAGGAACCCTCAACTAAGCTTTTAAGACTGGGAAAAAAAAGTCAAGCTGGAGTCTGTCTTCTGGCTCGTAACCTGGTCCTTATTTGTTTATTGATTGAACTGAACCCAGGGCTTCATGTATGCTCGAAAGTATTTTAACTCTGAGTTAAACCACCAATCCTGCTGGTCCATACTTTATTCTACCATGAATACAATTTTTCTAAAGCAAAATCCTAAATATGTCTCTTACTAAATAGAAAAACTTTTACAGTCTCCCCAATTGCCTACTGTTAAAAAAATAAATTCCAAACTTTTCCAGCTAGAGAAGATTCTTTACAGCCTCCTTGGCCTACCCTATCCAGTTTCCCAGTCAACCATGTCTTCAAACTATCTTGATGCACCATGAACAAACAATACCTCTACAAGCAATCTTCCCTGTGCCACCAAAGTCCATATATTGTACATCTATTGGGGGAGTTATTATACAGGATAAGTTTTTTCTGTATGTCTTGCTCTCATGGTTACAGACTGTGATCAACTTGAAGTCTAAGATTAAACCTAATTCCTTCTTTATATTGCTCTCTAGCACCAGTTATATAGCATAGTTTCTAGCATACAGTACATACCCAATATCCTGTATAAAGAAGACATATACCTCCAGAAAAACAATAAAAAACAAATGCAATTAACAGGTGAAAAACTTCTCCTTGTCATAAAGATAATAGAAGGCAATCCCCAAAAAAAGTGGATTCTTGATCTTTTAAGACAGTATTGCTGACAGAAGGGCAAGTTTGGGATGGCAGAAGAAGCACTAGAAGTGGGCTGACAAAATTTATTGGCTTCTATTCCTTGTTTCCAAATAATACTCCAAGAAAGGAGGTGGCATACTGTGCTCTAGACCAGGATTTGGGCAACCTGAGTTTCAATCATGGCTTTACCATTTGTGGTATCCTTCACCCTGCCCTGACACCTATTATGTAACATGAGACTTGGTCTTCACTCATTCATCCCGCAGGTACTTACTCTCTCAGCACCTCTAACACACTAGGATAGCAATATAGATGTGTAGTGAAGAAATAACATCTCTACTCTCCTGGAGCTCACAGGCTAATAGGGAAGCCAGAATTCATTCAGGAACTGTCCTTTCCAATCCTGAAATTTAGACTTGGCAGAGCACAACACAATATACTAGTATGACCAAGTTCTTGGAGCCAGTGTACCTGAATTTAAATCCAGGCTCTGCCACTAATTCACCTGCGTCTCACTTTTCTTAACTGTCAACTAAAATCAACAATAATTAAATTAGGGACTGATGCGTGCAAAGCACTAGAACAGTGGTAAGCACCGAGTGTTTGCAATGAACAGCTATGATTATCCATCATTCTCAATAATGCATCGGCTGAGTCCTTACCGCTTGCTCATTCCTCATCCCGATGTACCTGATGCCTAGCTCCTGGGCTGCAATGGCGATTTCAGTCACCGGGATGCCTACGACGCCAAACATGTACTCCACATTCTGCCGGCGGGAGAACAGGTGAATAAACGCCCGGGCCCCTCCCCAAGAAGCCTCCCGCCCGGGCACCAAAAGGAAACCCCAAAAGACCCCACCCCCAACGCCCCAAGCTCTCCTCGTCCCCATGACAACGCCTGGGTCCCGTGCGGCCACCGTAGGAGCCTTTCACTTCAGAGGCTGCCCTCGTACTTGCGTCTTCAGGGCCTGGGCGATGACTTTAGCACCAGACACCTGCTCCTCGCTTCTGTCACTCCGCTCTGCCAAGTTACTTTCCGGCATCTTCCACCTAAAAGTTCAAGGAACTCTCGCAGCCACCAGCCTGCGACAAAACAAACCCTCACCCCGCACGCCGCCAGTGGAACCGCGCCTCTGACGGACAGCAGGGCAGCCAACCGATTTTAAATAACAGGACGGAAGAGGCGGGGCTAAACTAGCCCGCTCCGCGTGAGGTGAGAATGTAAACAGCCCGCTTCCCGGTTCCCCCATTTGCAGACACAGAGTGTGAGAAGGAGGCAGGACTAGCTGGAGGCCGCGACCTATGCCGAGCAGGTAAGAAGCCGCCTCTCGGAGGCCTCCCGCCATTGCCCAAGGTCCCGACGCTCTTTGGCACCGTGAGTGGCGCATGCGCACGTGGGGCGGAAGGCGGACTGGGCTCCCGAGAGAAGGGGGCGTGGCTCCGGCCCCGCCCCCGCCCGGGCCGCTTGCTAAGGAAGGCTGCAAGAATGAGGATGGCAGAAGCTCATCTAATGAAGAGCAAACTAATCTGTGGGTCGTGTTATCATACTGCTAAATCCTCTGATTTCATAACTTGTGCCTTTGCACTCCGTAATTCATACTATTGCGCCTTACTTAAATCCGCAAGCAGCTACCCCAGCTTCGTAGGTGACACCTGGCTTCCAAGCAGGGGAGAAAGTAACTTGCCCAGACCAGCTTCAGGCTATTCCATGAACCTCGAGAAATTCAACCTGTGCTGCTAACCATTACTCTCCATTACTATCTTTCCAAATCAGGACATGCAGTTTTTCACAATTTTTAACATCATTCCCTTCCCATAACCAGGCCCTGCTCTTCAAAGCCTTTCAAAACACTCCCCAATAGGAAAGATGTTTGCAGTGTGCAATTTCTGAGGCTATACCCCCAATCCTTAGACCACCTACTCGGTAACAAAGGTAAAAATTATAAATAAATAGGTAATCTGCTTAAAAAGTTATAGTCAGAAGACAAGGAGCCAGAATCATAGGTAGTGAAATAAATGAGAAGCATTGGAAATGCAAGGAATTCTAAACCTAGAGATTTTTAAAGTGTAGTCCAGGCCCTTTCAAAATGTCTTCCTCTCTTTATTTCAACCTCTCTCTTCACCCCAATCAATGGAGAGTGAAATGGTTGCCTCCCTAGCTATGAGGGAGTCTGGGATCCCATCTAAGAGGGAGATTTCTTTGAAGTCTCAGGTTCATCTAAACAGTAAATGCAGATTTTGCTTCTACTCCAGAATGTATCCATGTTTTGATATGAAGTGGCATTTTGTTTCTTAAAATTTAATGAGCACAATCAAATTTTATTTTTATATAGGGTCTTGCTAAATTGCTGAGGCTGGCATCTTTCCATCCTCCTTTCTCAGCCTCTTGAGTTTCTGAGATTACAAGTGTGTGCCAATGTGCCTGGCTTAAATACTCAGATCATAAATATATGAGTTTTGACAGTTATGTATACCTATGCAGCTATCACCCAAAATTAAAATATTTTAAGCTGCTTACCTGCCAAGTAAAACTGATGTTCCAGAAAGATGTAAAACATTCTTTCTGTGCTTTGAATAGTCCTTAGCACAGTGACTCCTACCTCTATTTGAGTAACTCCCCTCCATTATGTGCTATTGTTTATATTGATACTTCTTGACAATGCTTGCATGATTCTCATTGCATCAGAATCACATGGAAAATACAATTCTTTGGCCTTACCTCAGATCTCCTGAATTAGCATCTTTTTGGAGGGCTGGAATTGAACTTGGGGGCACTGAGCCACATCCCCAGCCCTATTTTGTATTCTATTTAGAGACAGCTTCTCACTGAGTTGCTTAGTGCCTTGCTTTTGCTGAGGCTGGCTTTGAACTCAAAAGACTCCTGCCTCAGCCTCCTAAGCTGTTGGGATTACAGGTGTGCACCATGAATTAGCATCTTAGAACATGTTAGGCACTTGTATTTTTTTTTTTAAAGCTGCTACCTGATTTGTGCATGTGTGTATGTGGTATTAGGGAATGAAACCCAGGTGTGCTTTACCACTGAGCTACATTCCCAGCCTTTGTTTTTTTGTTTTGAGATGTAGTTTCGCCATGTGGCTGAGGCCAGCCTCAAACTTGCAATCCTCCTGCCTCATCTGAATTACATGCACCACCACATCTGATTTTGATTTTCTTCCCAAATTCAGAACCACTAGCTCTGTACTCATGTTGGTGGTAATAATTAAATGTCTGATTGCCTAACTATTACCAATGTAATACAGTTGATGAACTTGGATTTATAGGTTCAAGGCTAAACCTGTTTGACATTAACAGCACAAGCTGCATAGATGGTAGTCAATTCATGGGACCTTGTGTCTGCTTTCCTGTCAAAAGAATCACTGACAATATGAAGTGCAGAGGGAATTTCCCTAGAACTCAAAATAAGTGGTTTTGCAAAAGCATAAATCCTCAACAAGCTAGATCCTACCAGTTAGCAAAGAGAAAAGCCATTAGAGAGTTCTTGCTTTCACCTTTACCCCTTTCAGTTCAGAGTGCAGCCTTCCCTTATTCACTGGTCTCTGATGATTCAGCAGGAGTGCCGAGTCCTGCCCCAGGATTCACAGGGTCAAAGAGCAACTCCTTGTCAGTCCAATTGTAGTTAAAAGACCCCAGGATCTGGAATTTATCCAAAGCCCTTTGTGCGGACTTTGTAACCACTGACCATGTTCTTTATTACTTTTGTTGGCAGTAGGCATGGAATTTTATTTGCTGGATGTTTTGTTTTTGCTTATTTACTGGTTTTGTTTTTTAATTTATTTATTCATCAAAAATGAATAAGCCTAATGTTTTTAAAAATAAAGACTAAATAATTAATAACATGCCCTCCAAAGAACAAAGCTACTCATCCAGCCTGCATGCTGATTATTCAAGGGTTCTAGATCTGAGATTATGAAAAGAAGCTATTTGATAGCCGTCTTGGAACATACTCTTGGAAGACTGTGGCTTCTACAGGCAGTGACTCCTTAGACTCCAAAACACTGATTATACATTTTAATTTCAGTAACCTAACAAGGACACTAAGAACCTTTGTGGTTATTTTAAAACACAACACTAGCAGGACCTGTAAGAAATAGTCTCGTGGACATGTTTTATTAAATTTATGAAGTGTGTGGTTATCAGTTACCAAATGAAGAAATAAATTGGAGCCAGATGTGTTGGCACACACCTGTAATCCTAGTGACTCAGGAGCCTGAGGCAGGAGAATCATAGGTTCAAGGTTAGTCTGGTCAGCTTAGTGAACCCCTGCATCAAAATAAAAAGGACTAGGATGTAGCTCAGTGGTAGAGTACCTCTGGTTCAATACCTAATACAAAAAAAAAAAAAAGGTAGAAAGGAAAAAATGGGATTATTTAGGATACATTATAAAATGGCTAAAAATTACAACTGAATGTCTTAAAAACAAATAAAAAGCCAGCAAAAGGAATAAGGAAGAAAATCTATGTGGCATGTTATTTTTAAAAACAACACTTAAAACTATACAAAGGAAATGTGCTATAGGAAATATGTCAACAGAGATGAGGACATAAAATAATATCATAAAATGATTCTTTGAATAAAACAGGTTAATTGATTTTGTTTGTTTCTTATTAAATTTATAGACTGCAAAGTACCAAAAGATAAGCCTGAAGCAAAACCAGTGAAAAGCACCTTTATTATGGAGCCATCAGGGGACAGCTCAATAGCAACTAAATAATAAAAACTCCCAGTACCTTTTACAGGTTGACAGGCACTGAGAGTTTTTTCCCGGGGGCCCTCTGACCTAGAAAAAGGTTGGATTCCTGCCCATGGCCTACATTGGCAAGCCCTTAACCTTTGCCCTGCATTTGGATGCCTGTGAGACCTAGGACTGGAGCAGGGAGCATTATGGGAATAAGATGGGAGGAATGTTGTTTCCCTCTTCTAGCTTTGAGTCATCCATTATGGAGTTTGGGGGTTTTGGTGTTTTGTTTTGTTTTTTTTAAGCAAATTTGGTATAGTTTGACATCAGCGGTAAACATCACTGACAAGAATTTTTTTTGTGTAAAATACACCAGGAAATAGTGATAACTGTATGTAGTGTTGTGCGGACATAAGAGATTCATTTCAAATGGCTTGGAAGGCATGTCATATTATTCTTCTTGGTGATGCATGTGTGTTTTGAAACATGGTACCGGTATCACCAGTATTGAAAGAATTTCTGTTTTCATTTGTTTCTTCTAAGTAGCCATTAGTATCATTACAGCCCCTTGCTTTAGCTAGCTACTTGTTTATTTATTTATTTATACTGGAAAATGAACCTACAGGCACTTTACCTTTCAGCTACATTCCTGCTCTTCTGAATTTTTGAAAGAAGGTCTCACTAAGTTACTAAGGCTGGCCTCGAACTTGGGATCCTCCTGCTTTGGTCTCCCAAGTAGCTGAGATTATGGGTGTGTACTACCATGCCTTGCTTAGCTTTTTAAATTGTACCTTCTTGCCTGGCAGGTGTTGAACACCTGTAATCTCAACTACTTGGGAGACTGAGGCAAGAGGATCACAAGTTTGAGGCTAGACTGGGCAACTTAGTGAGAGCCTGTATCAGAATCAAATAAAAAGGGCTGGGGATATAACTCAGTGGTAGAGCACTTGTCTAGCATATGTAAGGCCCTGGGTGTAATCCCCAGTACCCACCCCCCAGAAAAAAAGTTGTACCTTATTGCTTTGTTTTGCTTTACATCTCTTCTCTGAGTCTGCAAAACAAAGAGTCACTCTAGGGCAGACTCTCTTGAGTGATTCGCAGGGTGCAGGGTTGAACTAGGTACATATCCAAGTGAATGACACCTTCATTATGAAAACTTAGGTCTGTGAACTTGTCTCTTCATCACAACCTTTAAGTTCCTTTTCAGAGTTTAGATGTGATTTATTGTTCCATACGTTTAACATTTATGACATCTTTCAGGCACATGAAAGAAACACATTGATACACACAGCTCCTATCTTTAGAAATATGATGTTGAAATTGAATGAGCCTCCTGCATGTCCCTTTCCTATTGCACTGCCTTCCCTATCCCATTGAATTTGATGTTTGTAATTCCCACATTACCCTTTTTTTCAGGCAATGGACATTATCTTAATCCATCTTCTGTTGCTGTAACTGAATACGTGAGACTGGGTGATTTATAAAGGAAAGAGGATTTTTTTCCTTAAAGTTCTTGAAGCTAGGAAATCTCAGAGTATGGTGCTGGAATCTGCTTGGCTTCTGGTAAGGGCCTTATAGCAGAAGGACAAGCAGATGCATGAGGAAGAGAGATAAGGGGGCAGAACCCCTGAGATAGTGAATCCACTCATGAGAGAAAAACATGAATTCATTCACAGGGGCTTAGCTCCATAAGCAGATACTTCCTCCCAGGCCCTGTCTCCCTGCACTGTTACAGTGAGGAATTAAGGTTCCAACACAGACATTTTGGGGAACATGCTTAAAGCATTGCAGACATTTAGATCCTGAACATCCTTGTGAATCTCCTTGTGTACATGTGTGAGAATTTATGTGAGAGAGAGAGAGAGAGAGAGAGAGTGTGTGTGAGTGGGTGTGTGTGTGTGTGTGTGGGAGTGTGTGTGAGAATGGAGAGCTCATTATCAAGTTTATCAGAAAATGCCAAATTGATCTTAAAGTCATTGTATGAATTTATATCCCCTCCATCAGTGTTTGAGAATCCCCTCCAAGTCCTCAAAATGGGAATTTTGAAAATTTTTGCCAACGATGGATATGAAATGGCTTCTCATCTCCATTTCCCTGACTCCTAATGAGGTTAAGTTGTGTGTGTGTGTGTGTGTGTGTGTGTGTGTGTG